AACAGTTACGCCTCTTTCTCACACTATTAAAGTTTTCTTCAAGCTCAAGAAAAACTTTGTCTACACTAGTGCTGTTAAGTTTGTTTCTTTCTATTCAGTGGGATCCTGTTGCACACCATTTTGAGTTCTTCTTTTGGGTTTTCAGTTCATTTTCTGTTTCTCTCCTTAGTATTACTTCTCTCTCTCTCTCTCTCTCTCTCTCTCTCTCTCTCTTTTCTCTCTCTCTTTTCTTCTATCTGCTTTACAATTGTAGTCTAAGGCCCAACTTGTGGGATGCCGTCTTTAGTTTTAGTAAAATGTAAATTCTTTTTTCTATACAAAAGTTACTCTTCGTAAAAAGAAAATCTTGACTAATTTCTACTTTTTATTTATTTTCAATTTGATGAACCCTATTGGATGTGCGGTATTACACTACACATTGGAACTGTCCTTGTCAGAGAATCTAGAGAGAAAAGAGAAAAGAGAAAAAGAAGAATGAGAGAGAGACGTGAGTGAAAGAGAAGAGAGCGAAATGTGGTTCAAACTAACCCCTCACACACCTCTTAAACCACTTAAATATTACGAAAAAATATGAAGGGGAAAAACTGCCCATACAAAAAATGAAAGGACCCTAGGATCCTAGAACTTAGATAAAAGGACTTTTAACATTTCCCCTCAAGGTGGAGCATAAATGTTACCCATGCCCAACTTGGAACAAATTGTTTGGAACATATTATGACCAAGGCCTTTGTTGAAGATGTTTGCCTGCTGGGTCCTTAGATTTCACATATAGAGTAGACGCCTGACTACTAGCAACTCTCTCTTGGATAGAATGACAGCCTACTTCAATGTGCTTGGTCCTTTCATGAAACATTGGATTACTTGTTCTATAAGTGGCAGCTTTATTATCATAATACATCTTCACAAGTTTAGCAACACTAAACCCATCTCCTGCATCAATGTTTTCAGCCACATCAATTCATATGTGGTATATGCTATTGCTCTATATTTAGCCTCTGCATTAGATCTAGCTACAACATTTTTTTTTCTTGCTTCTCCATGTTACTAAGTTTCTGCCAATAAATGTAGTAATGTACAATAACCTGTGGTAGACCACTTGTTAGATGGTGAACCTGCCCAATTTTAAATCACCATGGAGAAGCATTCTTGATACCAAGTTGCCTCAACGAACATCCCTTGTTGGCAGCCATTAATATAACCACTTGAACTGAATTAAGTTTAGAAACAAGGGCAAATGGTTTCAAAGTAGTCAATGCCAAATGTTTGTTTGAATCCATTGGCTGCCAATCTGACTTTAACCTTTCGACAGTGACATCAGGTTGATATTTGACTGTATGGATCCATTGACACCCAACAACCTTTTTCCAGCTGCTTACTCAGTGAGTTCCCATGTATCATTTCAATGAAGTGCATCCATCTCCTCTTCCATTGCTCTCATCCTCCTGGTATGAAACAGTGCTTCTTGATAGGTCTTAGGAACATAAATAGATGAAATGGCTAAAACAAACTTCGATATGATGGAGACAAATTTGTAAAGGTAGCAAAATGTGCTATCGGATGTTGAATACAATACCTGATAACTTTATTGATGGCAATAGGTATATCATCACAAGAGTGAAGGATTAGTAGACAAAGATGATGATTGAGTGGTTAGCTGAGTTGGTAGGGGATGTCCATTTTCTTCTAGTGTAAAACTTTATAGGCTGCTCCTGAGGAACAACATGATGTGTAGATGTACTAGATTCAGTGGATTCACGTAACTGGGGTGAAAAAGAAATATCAATAGAAATAGGAAGAGGAATCATAGAAGGCAAGGACTTTGAGACTTCTTCAGAAGCACGATAAGAAATATCTATATCAAGCACACGACTCTCTTTGAAAAATAAAGGGTATCTTAAAGAAAGGTAACATCGGCACAAACAAATTTCTTCCGTAAACTAGGATGATAACAACGATAACACTTCTGGAAGCATAAATACCGTAGAAAGACACACTTGACAACCTGGTGATCTAGCTTATCATTACCAACACATAACATATGAACAAAGCAAACACACCCAAACACTCATGGAGGAACAACAAACCAGTGGAATATTAGGAAAGAGAACTGAGTGTGGTATTTTTCCATCTAAGACTAAAGGGGGCATATGATTAATTAAATAGTATGAGGTCAGCAAGGCATCTCCCCAATAAACCTTTCGAACATGGATATTAATGGCTAAAGAACGAGCTACTTCAAGTAAGTGTTGATTTTTCCTTTCAGCAACCACATTCTGTTGAGGTGTATGCGCACAAGAGATTTGGTGTAAAAATCCCATTTTGAGCAAAATAAAATTTTTTAGAAAGATTCCCTTAAGCATTATCAGAACGTAAAATATACATATTCTTATTGAATTGAGTTTGGATATCTTTGTGAAACAATTGAAAATTGGAGCTAATCTCATATATCTCTTTTATTAAATATAACCATTCATTTGTGAATAATCATCCACAAAAGTTACAAAATACCTATGACCATACAAAGTTTGTACTCTAGCTGAACCACATATATCAGAGTGAACCACTATAAATGGAACAAGACTCCATTTGTCAACTCTAGGACGAAATGAGACCCTATGATGCTTTCTTAACTGAAGCTTCATACTATAAAGCAGATGTAAACTCCAAAGATGGAACTAATAGCTTCAAGTTATTGAGAGAAGGATGAGCCAACCATTAATGCCATAAGAAAGGAAAATTAGCAAAGTGAAGAACAACATCAATAAGTTCGTAATCTAAGTTGTAGAGGGCGCCTGATGATACCTGCCACCAATCGTCCTCTCTGTCTTTAGTTCCTAAAAGACGCAAGAAGAAGGATAAAAGGTTACATGGTAATGAATAAATTCTGTTAATTTGCTCACGGATAATAAATTGAAACAGAACTTTGGTACATATAATGTAGATGATAGAGAAAGGGAAGAAGTAGGCATAACTGTACTCTGGCCTGTCACATTGGATATTGATCAATCAGCTAGAGTAACAGAGGAATTAGGAATACATTTAATTAGAGATGTAAAAACAAAGGACTCACCGGTAAAGTGATTAGATGCTCCTGAGTCAATAACTCAGGTATAGGTTTCTGAGAGGCTTGAAGCACAATAGTACTTGAATTGGCAAGGATGGCAGTATAAGAGGAAGAGGGAACCGTAGATTGATGTACTTGTTTAACAAGTTTATTATATTCTTCTTTGGGAAGCACAATAGAGTCACTGGCAGAATCCGATTGTTGTTGGCAATCACTGGGCCCATTCAGATAAAGGTCATCACTCTCATGTGTATAAGTAGCTAGGTTTGCCTACGCAGGCTTACCAACCTTGTCTCAACATTTATCAACTGTATGATTTGTACGCCCACAATATGTACACTTGTTAGTTCCTAGTCCCCTGCCACGATCACCCCTAGCTCATTCTCTTCTTGCGCCACGACTACGTCCTCGACCTCCATCGCCTTCCCTACAACTGTATTCAAGATTGATCCATCAATTTTATTCGAGTCAAAAGCAGTGGGAGAACTAGATATATTGACCTATTGAATGTGCGTGTAAACATTTGTGAGAGATGGGAGTTCATCGCTTACCAAGATTTGTTCACGTATCGAATGGTACTCAGGATTAAAGCTACATAAAAATTTCGCAACCCTAATTTCTTCATGCTGCCTCTTCTGTAAGTCCACATCACCAGATATAAGTTGATATAAATTCAACTTCTCCCATATATCCCTAAGGGTACTATAATAGTCACACATTTTTATTACCTTGTTGCAATTGAAACATCTTCTAAAACAACTCATATACCTTTATCTTATGAGTTCGTTTCTTTCAAAATGTCCCAAATTTCTTGAGCTGTATCGAGAAACATCACATTGGTATTTGTTTGGGGTTCCATATTACTCAACAACCAGGTCATGATTGTATAATTCTTATCATCCGTTTTCATATCGACTATCAAATTTACTAGGCTTGTCTTCCGTTAAGTATTTTAGTTTCCTCTTGCATCGAGAAATGCTTTAACAGATTGGGCCCATACAACATAATTAGGCTCATTTAATTTTAACGAGATCATTTGTATCTTCTAGGAAAACTAAGGATTCCAGGTTTAATTTCCTTATCCATGAGTATATAAAATAAAGGGGAATGAGGGCAACCAGGATTGTCAAATTTTAGTCACTTAGTACAATATTAGAAACCACATAAAGAGGGAAGAGATGCTTATCATTTGGATCAGGTCACGTTCTACACTTGAACGAATTAGGGCATCACATTAAACATATCTTAGCATCACCATGCTGCCATTATTGATACTAGGTCATGACCTCTTTGTAGATCTTAATCTCGAAAGAGAAAACACACACAGCAGCATCGTCACACTAGCAGCAGATCAACATGATCTTCTGCACACAAAACCCTAGGGTTTAGATCTAGGGTATCCCTTGACAAGATCGGCATCAACAGGGTTAAAGTTTATTGTTTTTTTTCGTTTTGGAAAGGAAAGGGGAATACAAAAGTTTAGGGTTTAGAGAAAGGGAAAGATGAAAGTTTAGAGTTTAGAGACGAGGGAAGATGAAAGAATAGATTTGCTCTAATACCATGTCAGCTTATCTATAGAGAGAAAAGGGAAAAAAGAAAAAGAAGAGAGAGAAGAGATAGGAGAGACGAAGAGAGAGAAGAGAGTGACATGAGGTTCAAAACTAACCACTCATGCACCTCTTAAACCACTTAAATATTTTTAAAAAATATGAAAGGGCAAAACTGCCCGTACAAAATATGAAAGGACACTTAGGTCCTAGAACTTAGATAAAAATAATTTTAACAGTCCTAAACAAGCATAGATTTCTTGTATACTTTGTCTTTATTTGTGCCTCAAATTGCAATTTTATTTGCTTTTGTGTTATTTCTGTTTTGGTAAAGCTTCTATTATTCCTCCATTTTGATAAAGAATCTGATATTCCTTTGATGCATACAGAGGTGGAGCAATTATTGGAACCTGAAGAAATTGCTATTTTGCAGAACAATGAGGCTCCTGTTCTCAATAAAATATCAACGGTGGGTTTCATAATCATCCCGCCAACTTCTTGTCTTATGTAGCTAAATATATCTGCTTTCTAGCTCTGCATGTATGGGTTGGAAGCTTAGGAGATGGCATCCAATTTTTATGTTTATCTCATTCCTTTTTTCATGTTACATGAATTCTAACTGTACTTTCAGAATGATTCTGACATGAGTAATACGAAAGTTCACTCGAAGTAACATTGAAATTAAGATAACTGACATTCCTTTAGACTCTAATTTCCTTAATTGTGTGCTGCAGCCAAAATGGAGCCCCATTCATACTCTTGCAGCATCTGGGCAAATAGCTTTCATGGACAAGTTACTGGAACTTGATGATGCCTCCGTTGATGCTGTTGATAAGGTAGTCTCATCTTCTTCAAGCTTTGTCCTGAACAATCTCCCATTCAAGAATTGGTGCAATAGTAGCATTTGCGTTACAGGATGGTTTTACTGCTCTTCACAAGGCAGTTATAGCAAAAAAAGAGGCGGTTATTAGTCATCTTCTCAGGGCTGGTGCAAATCCTCATGTAAGAGATGAGGTGAGGCCAATGTTCCCATATTTGTCTTGAGCTTCCTTATTTAGTCTCAATTGAAAATATGTCAAAGTTTCCATAACAGGATGGTGCTACATTGTTACACTATGCGGTTCAAGTTGGTGCCATGCAGACCGTTAAACTACTGATCAAATATAAGGTTGACATAAACATTGCGGATGATGTGAGTGGGTGGATTTTTTATTCCATTTCTTGAAAATGGAGAATTCTAGTTGTGTACTGAAATTTAAAGTCTGAATTTTTTTTTTCCCTTTCAATTACTCTTTTAGGATGGCTGGACACCTCTACATGTTGCAATCCAAAGTCGGTGTAGGGATATAGCCAAAGTACTATTGGTCAATGGAGCCGATAAGACAAGGAGAACCAAGGTGAGATTACTGTCTTACTTCTCATCATAAATTTCTTGCTTTGCACCTTTTTATTTACCTAAGTTTGATGGTTGTGATGGTAGCAGCACTTGAGTCAAATAATAATTGTGATGCGTATAAGTTATCTTAGGAAGGACATGGAACTATCCAAAGGATACATAGCAGTTTCCTTATAACATGGAAAATATCCAATGGCAAAGTAAGGCAAGGAACTTTTTCGAAGCCATATGGGTTAGGTTCTACTTGCAGAAAGTCAACAGCACGCAGAGAGATGAGTGCTCAAAACAGTTTCTCGCATTCCATCTTTTATACGATGAAATTGAAGTTACCCTTTACTGTTGTATGATGCAGTCTCAACGTAATTGATAGTATTATCACTTATTTGACAGATGATTCCTTATTTTTATTTGACGTGCACCTGATTACATTAGTAAGCTGATGATATGATCTTATGTGTTAATGCGTACATGAAACCTTGTGCAATGGCTTTTGAGGTATTGAGCATGTCCTAGAGAGATGTTGAAGTTAGGTCATATGCAGATCTCTCTCTTTTTCATGTTAAACCTTTTTTAAGATTAACATGTTGGAGCTTGGGACTCGGTAGAATGATACCCTGGTTCAGATGAAGTATTGAAAGACGTGTCTTTGTGAACATTGGAATTATTTCTGTATTCTATCCGTAATGTATCTTTATGGTTTTACAAAGTGGATTGTGTCAGGTCTACTATCCTCATTGGTTAATAAAAATTTAATTAAAGAGGAAAACATTTAGCCAAGGGATGTCCTTTTCCAAAATGTCTTTCACATGAATGATCTTGGCCAACTTGTTTGTTAGGTAGTGAGACTCATGGTTGACCTATTAGTGATTTTGTTAGTGAAAAGAATGCATGTTCATAGCTTCTCCTCTTCCACAGATTACGACTGCAAGTCATTTTCAGCACTTGATGCAGCTATTAACTCATTCCAGTATGATTCCTTGGCACCACTATTAGTAACAAGTGTGCCTGTACTTGAGAATCTTGTGTTGACTTGTTTGTCTGGAATTTCATTATCATTGAAGTGTTCCATTTATGCATAAACCCAGAACCATCTTCTTGTAAAACCTGCATCTGCCTTATCTCACAGGTTAATTGATGCTTGAAGACATGGCTCCAAAATTTTCCCCTTTCCACTTTACCCCGTTTCTGAATAAGGCTATAAATGGGTCAGGTCCGGTTAGGGTTGACCCTGACCCAACTAGGTCCGCAGTTAGAGGCAGACAGGGGTTGGGTCCATGTTGGACTCAGACCCGACTTGGATTAATACGGGTTGGGTCGGTTCCTGGTCAAGATATTGAACCATACTAATATATTATATTTAAAATATGATTTTAATATTTATGTATTATATGTAAATATGTTGGGTTGGGTCAACCCCTACCTGACCCAAATTTGTCCTGCCAGTTCCATTTGACGGCTCCAGACCTGGGTTGGGTTGCCTCCCGCCCACCCAGGGGAGGTCTGCTGGTCAGCCAGACCCATTTTTGAGCATATTTTTCAAATGTATGTGCTTTGTTGCAGGTTCCCCCCACCTACCCCCCCCCCCCCCCCCTTCCCTCCTCCTCCTCCTCCTCCTCCGCCTCTCTCTCGTCTCCCACTAGGGGGCTTCCCACTTTATTCTTTGAGAAAATTAATCCCTTTTTTGTTGAAGGCAAACTTGGTTTCTATGAGTGTTTTACAGACCATTTTAGTTTTGTCATTTTGCAAGCATTTAATTGTATGTAGTTTTGTATATAAATACATCTCTGTCAATTTCATCAAAAAATAGAAAGAAAAAACTAATGCTTGAAGATGGCTCAATGTACCATTGTATTATTACATTCGAACTAATGAAACTGGATGCATTATTTTTAGGGAAAATTATAGATACCCCCAAGAGCCAACTTTCTAGGCATGCCCTCTCCCAATCCCAATACCTAAACCACATCACTAATTGCATCCAACCCCCAAGTAAAAATGTAACTTTCTTATGATGGAAATGACTCCCTCTAAACCCAATGTTGAGGGGTTAGTGATGTGTTTAAACAGTTAATTTTTTTTTTTTTTGGGGGCGGTGTGTGTGGATGCCGAGAAAGTTGGGTCAAGTGCGGTATCTATAATTTTCCCTTATTTTTATTCAAATAGATAAGGAATATATACAGTTACCAGAACACAAAGCCATTGCTCATGTGAACAATAGCGGTCTGACAGCATCTGCTATCTATCGCATGAAGGTTCCATTTTCAACTTTTACACTATATGCACTAGCATCTCTAGGTTTCGCGCAGCATTGACTGCTTGGTGCCAATGATGATTTCCACACCCACCAACAGGCCTTCAGGCTCCTTTGGTCCTATTCCTGTATCTTGAGCAGTAAATCTCTGGAAATGTTTGCTTGCTTTAGTGCAGGGCTGCGGCATATTGCTGTTCTCATGACCTAGCTTTATTGTCTTCCACCTAGCAAAATTTGGTTTGGCAATTTATCCATTTTTAGCTGTAAATAATCAGTGCACCATCCGTATAGACTCAAGCTGTCTGTTGTTTGTAAACTTTCTTTCATCTAAATCTTGTGAGTTGATCAAGTTCCATTATCAACAAAGAAAAACAACAAATGAGGTTCCGTGATATCAGGCACTGAAGATTGGGGCATTGATCCTTGAGATGGACCTCTGATCCTCTAGGCTAGTATTCTCAAATTATAGTTTGCCATCTAATCGTTGAAAGATTCACCAGCAGTTCCACTCCCTGAAATTGGTACATCATCTACTGTGAAACCTTTATAACAATGGTCTCTAGCAATAAAAAGCATCGTGTTTCTCCACTGTAGTAAACCATCTTGTTATTGTTTATTGCCTTGGTTTGTTTTTCTTGCGCACTCATACTTGTAGTGGTTGCATTTCCTGTTTGGATAAGATCTAACAGTGTTCATTGCCCGCTCCATTCTCCTGTGTTGTAGGATGGAAAGACAGCTCTGGATCTTAGTTTATGCTATGGGAGGGAGTTCAAGTCATATGAACTAGCCAAGCTGCTTAAGCTTGTTCCTGCAGATGGTGTAAACAGGGATCCTTAAGTCCTGACATTGCAATCAGGATTTGTTCATTCTTTATAGCTATTGTTTATGCAATTTTTCTTTCTCTGTTTTCACCTTCACGTGGCTAAGTTTTGAGGTTGCATGCTTGTTTTTGGTTGAATTTGCCAATTACTTTTCAGCTATTCCTTCATTGTTCTTTGATAGACTGCAATATGGTTAGTTATATTTCTTAGTTGAACATGAGAATTCATTTGCGAGTGTGATATGTGATTTATATGTATGAAAAGATACAGGGATGTGCTTTTTTTGTGCAAAAATTCTATCACTTGATGGCTGTAGCCAGTTTTTGGAGGGTTTGATTGATTTAAGAGTTGAGTGATCGACATAGGTCCTAAAAGGTTCCTCTGACCTAAAACACATGCAATGCAATGACTTCATATAGATACTTGATTTCATTCTTCAATCATTTGCATCTGAAATTAACATAACCTACATAATCGGGTGTGACCACCCAGTTGATTCTACCGGGGCCCACCAACACCCTAGAATAGGGAAAAGGACGTAGTTCTTTGTAAACCCTGTGGACCTCTACTCGAATAAAAAAAAAAAAGACCTTTGCTCTCCTCCTGCCCTTTTGATAGTCAATTTTACCATGTTGTTCATTACCTTCCAAAATAATAAGAATACCACCCTGTTCAAAAAGGCACCCCGAAACCTCCCTAGAGTATTCCCCATAAAACGTGCTCAAGGGTGGCATTGGAGAGAGAAAGAGAGGGAGTCTGCTATGAAACATTCTTTGGAAGGATTAGAATGTGCTCCCAGCGAATGACACCGAGAGAATCCGAAAGAATTCTCGAGACAGGCCCTGATGTTACCTATGGAAGAATACTTGAAGAGTATCACTTTGTGAACACTTCTTAAACAAGGGCAAACAGAAAAAATCCCAGAAAGTGATAACCCTAAAAGCATTCTGAAACAAAACAGTGAAGTGAATGCCATGTTAGTTTGGTCATTTTAGTATGCATTTAATTGTATGCGGTTTTCTTGACTTCATTTTATATAAATGCATCTTTGTCGATGCCATCAAAACTAGAGAGAAAAGATTGATGCTTGAAGATGGCTCAATGTAAAACATGCTCTCGCGGTGGTACTAAAATCTCTCTCTCTCTCTCGATGTACAACATGCTCAATGTACAATGCTTTATTGATTTTATAAAGCAATAAATGATATCGTCGTTGTAAATAGAATAAGGTGGGGGAAGTCTTCATATCAAATTATTAAAAAAAAGGGGATAAAAAAGGAAAGGAGTTCTTAGCTATGTTGCAGTCACTTAAAAAAATCTTTTTATAGCTAATCATTTATTATTAAAAACTCATAATGGATTCCTACAGATTCCATAACAAAAATTATTGAATGAGATATTGAACTACAAGAATGAAATTTTTAAGGTTGCATCCTTAAAATGTAGAAATACGGATGCACCTAAAAAAATTCATCGGAAAAGATTGTTTTAATGTTGAAAAACCCTCTAGTCGATCATCTCGACATAGAGATGTATGAATATGACAAAAAACAGATTTTGAGTCCCGGAAATAGTACATCTTACAATGTAATATCTAGACCGTCCATTTTCAAGATTTTCATATGTTTGTGGTTCTACTTAATTTTAACTATTTTTGGAGCTTATAATTTTATAATTAGATATGAAGATAGATTTTCAGATAATCTTAATAATTTCTTACACCAAAATTACATGTTATGATAGAATTTGGAAGTGCACCTTAATTGGATTGTTTAAGGTTGCAACCTTATAGAAACCACACCCTAAAAAAATGATTCTTTTTAAAGGAACATAAAAAAATCGGTCTGCAGGAATGGTTTGGACGATCCAAACAGCAACAAAATCAGGCGATCCGCATTTGAAATAAAACGTTGCCAAAGTCAACCACTTGAACCCAAGTCTGATTTTTGTATTCTAATTTAGTATACAAAATGCGTAAACTATCTTCTTCTAATTTTTCTCTTTATTCATCAATACATCTTTATATTGTGGAGAGACAAAGCGGGCTGAGTGTTTGGATTGGCTTGACACGGAGGAGGGCTTGGTGCTATATGTAACATTTGGTTCACAAGCTCATCCTGAGGAGGCTCAGATGAGAAAGATTGGCAAAGGGCTTGAGGGTTTGGAGGTGAGCTTCTTGTGGGTGGTGAGGGGTGATCCTGTGCTCGACGATGAGTTCGAGGTGCATGTCAAGGTTCGCGGGCTTGTGGCTAGGTTCCACAAATCGGAGTGCTCAGCCATTGTTATGTTGGTTGGTCCATACTTAGACAAACACTAAAAAGGACTTAAATTCTTCTTAGGTGCAATAATCATAATGATTATTATTTTTTAAACAATGATATAATAATTGTTTTTGAGTTTTTTGAAAATATATCTTCTAGACAATCCAATCTTCTAGACAATCCAAACAGTGAATATGTATCTTCCAGATCTTCGGTAGATGTTACCAAAATAGCATACACCCATTTTCCAAAAAAAACCAATTCTTGGAGATACCAATTCCAAAATACACATCCCTAGTATTCCCATATCTAGGGAACCAAATGGGGCCTAAGAGGCTAGGTGGCTTTGCCCGGCCTTCTTAATGGGACTAGTCCAGGCCGTGCAGTAGATAGTAATCATTCGGTTTTCTAAAACTATTAAAAATGGAAAAAGTTTATGTAAGGATGCAATCTTATAATGTCTACAGATGCCCCTAAAAATCCATCGGAAAAGGTAGCTTTAATGTTGAAAAACCCTTTGATTGATTATCTCTACATCGAGATGTATATCCATAAAAAATAACAAGATTTTAAGTCTAAAAAATAGTGCATTTTACAACATATTATCTATACCGTCCATTTTCAAGATTTTCATATGTTTATAGATCTACTTGATTTTAACCAATTTTGAAATTTAAAATTTTATAATTAGATATAAAAATAGATTTTGAGATAATCCTAATAACATTCTACATTAAAATTATATACCATGATAAAAGTTGAAGGTGCATCATACCTCTACAGCTACGGATGCATCCGTATGCCAATTGCACCCATTAAAAACAGACAGCCAGGCCGTGGCCTAGAACTGGCCCTAAATGTCATGCCTGAGGCCTATCCTCAGGTCAAATTTAGTGGCCCAGGTATGGGCTACTATGGGGCCAGGCTGACCAGCCCATTGGCTCCCTGTAAGTTAAGACATTGGAAGTCTATGATCTTTACAATCTCCCTACACAATTTTGTTTTCTGTTTTTTTCCTGAGTGATTTATCTCAGAATTAAGCATCCATCCTCGAAAGTCTAATTCTCTCTCTCTCTACATTGTATATCTCCAATCGAAAGAATTATTTGCTCCTATCGGAGCGAAATTTACACTTGTTCCACGAGTGAAGACCTACTTATGGGGAATTTTAGGATCTGAACCCGGTTGCTTGGTCTTTCCCTCACCCCCAACGTTTTAAATTTAATGTTCTTGGGACCTCTGGATATGGCAGGTGGTTATGGGGTTGTTATAGACAGCTATTGGGCCTTTATAGCTGCTTGCTCTCCCTTTGTCATTGCATCAAGTAATTATGCAGAATTCTATGTTTTGAAGGTAGACGTTGATCTGGCTATTGAAGTCTTATTGTTTTTCAATTAAAAATTGAAAGTAATTTGTCATTGCTTGTAAATACTATTCAAGAGTGTTGTAGAACTCCATGGGTACTCCACACGGTAGTAGCCAATTGCCATCATAGCCTTTCAAATCATAGGTGGTTCAGTTCTCACATCTATCGTGAAGCCAACATAGCGTATACACTTGCTAATAGGGGGATATTTTTCTATGATACTATAGTTTGGCGTTCTAGATTGCAAGATGTCATTTCCATGCCTTTACTTCATAATTTGGCTCAATTTCCATACTGTAAAGTTGTAACCCTTTGAGTTGTTTTTTGTCCATTTTTATTAATGAAAACAAGTAAGGGGACTTCTCCCCGACTGACTTACGCCAAAAAAAAAAAAAAATTACGATCTCAATGTTTGGGGATGATCTTTACTCATCTTAGTAGTCAACGCTCTAAAAAGGAAAAGGAATTAATTGCTTGAAAAAATAGAAGAAGTGAAAGTATATAATGAGACCATTTACAATTAATCTTAACTATTGAATGTGAAAATAGGTGGCTGCATTTATTTCATTGACAAAGCTCAAAGTTCTAAAGATTTTTTCTCCAATTTCTCGAATTTTGTGACACACTTAAGCTATCCGATTTCACATTGGAAGGTTGTAAGTAATTATGACCTCCAGATTTCCTCCAGATTTCACATCAGATGATTGTAAGTAATTATGACCTCCCTGTATCAAAGGTAAATGGTCTCATTATGTACAATCCCAAGAGAGTAAATAAACAGTATGCTCCTGTAAGAGCACAAAATCTTTTGGCCTTACCAAAGGATTGCATTAGAGAAATGGGCGGCATGTCAAATAGAGTCAAATACTCATGCGAACAAAAAAACATAAAAGTGTTTAAGATTCATTATTTAAGAGAACTTTATAATTTTCAAATAAAATTTGGATTTTCAAAATCCAAAATGCTGGGGAATGCTAAAATACATTTTTGAAAAACCTAAAAAAGCGCAACTTGGTCATTTAAACAAATTGTGAGATATTATTATAATAATGGGTAGAAAATGAGTATAGATCAAAATAACATTAAGATATATATACACACACATGTAATTTTATCTATAAAATAACCAAAAGATCCGAATAAACTTTGAGGGATATTTTGGTTATTTTAATTTATTATATATATAGAAATTGTGAGAAAATTTCTTTTGAATTTTGAACTTTGTCAATGAAATAAATGCAGCCACCCAATTTCACATCCAATGGTCAAGATTGTTTGTGACTACCTTGCACTAAAGGTAAATAGTCTCATTATATATATATATATATATATATATATATATATATATATAGATATATTAGTTA